TTGTCCAAGGTCATACAAGTAACAAGTGGCAGGGCCAGGACAGACACCCAGCAGTTTATGCTGTTAAATGTTATGCTTTGTGGCTTCTGCTTGTTCTGCTTGGTGACGGTCTGTCTTCTGCCACCAGATTGTGCCTTTCTCAGGGGGCAGTGACTGTCTTAGTCATCCCTGCATACCCAGCACTGAGTTCAGTGCTGTGTCTGTGCTTGGAAACACTGGAAGGACTACACAACCAGGCTGGACCTCAGAGGGAACCTAGGGCCAGCATGAAAGGTGCTCAGAGGCCCAGGCACCAGAGCTCAGACTGAGAGGGCACTTGGCTAACGTACATATCAGATGCTTCCCTGGCTATGACTCCAGAGGTGACCTGGAAAGCCAGAGGGCAGGTCCCTTATGCATTCTGCTCAGTTGCCGGTGTGAGGAGAGGTGAACACCACCAAGTGGCTACAGTGTCAGGGACTCCACAGAAGCAGAGAAAGGGCAGAAGTGGGGATGAGAGAGGACAAGCCTCCAGTTCAAACCTGTCCCTATAAGACAGTAGCACCACCTAGTGGTGGAACTCAAGATGATTTAGGAAAAGAACAGTCCAGAACTGGGGAGAAGCTAAAAATACCCCAGACTTCTGATGTTTGTCCCAGGGAGGGGCTTGGAATCCTACCCCAAGGCAGAGCAGCCCATTTGGAAAGGGCCCACCCAGTTGGAAAAAATGTGAAGAAATAATCTTCAGTCCTACTTGCCCTGGGCTGAAAAGAGCCACCTAGCTCAAGGTCACATGAAGGTCACATTCTTCATTGGGACAGCCAACATCCCATGGCTAGCTGATGAAGGAATATAAAAACTGGGCAGGGGCTTCCGGTCAAGATGACGGCGCAGGCAGACATGGCTCGCCTCTTCCCACAACCACATCAAAATTACAACTAAAATACAGAACAACCATCACTTAGGAACGTCAGAAATTGAGCTGCATGGAAGTCTGACAACTATGGAATCAAAGAAACCACATCTATCCAGACTGATAATAGGGGTGCAGACACGGAATGGGCTGGATAAAAATTCGGGAGGGATATCTCGGGAGCAAGGAGTCCAAGATCCACATCAGGCTCCCCAGCCTAGGTTTCTAGTGCCAGGAAGGTAAGTCCCCACAACTTCTTGCTGCAAATATCAGTGGGAATTGAGTTGGTGGAAGAAATTTCTGGAGCCCCAAGCAGTTCCTCATAAAGAATCCACAGACTCACCTACTCAGACTCACTCCCTCTGAGCTCCAACACTGACACAGTAGCTTAAAAGGAACCAGTGATATACAGGGAGACACTGAAGGATCTGGCATCAGGGTAAGCAGAGGCCATTGTCCCTTTGCTGAACCCTCCCCCCACAGAGCTAGCAAGCTGATGCCATGTCTGAGACTCCATCAACCTGGCTAACACTGTTTGCCTTGGAGATCCCCAGAGGCTCTGCCCCACCCAACTTACTGGCCCACCCAAGCTGCTTTTCCATAAAAAATGGTTGGTCTTGGCTCCTAAATCCTATCAAACAAGCAACAGCTGTCTTCAGTGAGCCCTAGTGGCAGCCAGATTAGATTCACAGCTTGGCTCCACCTGGGAATCTCAAGCCCAGCACAAGCAGCAGCCATCTCAGACTGCTTTACAGCTCAGTCAGGGTGGCCCTGGGCAAAACACAGGTTGGGGCTGACCTTGGCTTGCACCACCCAGGAAACGCCAGAGCTAGCACACCTGGTGAACAGCTACAGACCATGTTGGAGCACCAGCACCCTGCCCCTGCACAGCTGATCCTCCACAGATGACAGAAGTTGGTGGTCAGTAGTGACAGCCAGTCCTTGTAGCTGACTGGCCTGGGTAAATCCCTCCCATTGACCTGCCAACAGCAACCAAGGCTCAACTACAAGAGGAAGGTGTACTCAGCCCACGTGGGGGGTGCACCTTGAGCACCCAGCTCGGGTGATAGGAGAGGCTTTGCTACTGGACCCTGCAGTACATCTACTACATTAGGCCACACTACTAAGATAGAGTTAAAGCAGCTCTACCTAATACATAGAAACAAACACAGGGAGGCTGCCAAAATGAAGAGACAAAGAAACATGACCCAAATGAAAGAACAGATCAAAACTCCAGAAAAAGAGCTAAATGAAATAAAGATAAGCAATCTATCAGATGTAGAATTCAAAACACTATTTATAAGGATGTTCAAGGAACTTAGTGAGGACCTCAGCAGCATAAAAAAGACCCAGTCAGAACTGAAGGATACACTAATTGAAACAAAGGACAATTTATAGGAAAATAACAGTAGAGTGGATGAAGCCAAGAATCAAATCAATAAGGAAGCAAAAAACAACCATGAAGAACAACAACAAGTAAAAAGAACCCAAATAAATGAAGATAGTATAAGCAGCCTTTGGGACAACTTCAAGAAATCTGACATTCACATCATAGGGGAGCCAGAAGGAGAAGAGAAAGAGCAAGAAATTGGAAATCTATTTGAAAAAAAATTGTGAAAAAAACTTCTCTAATTTGGTGAAGGAAATAGACATGCAAGCCCAAGAATCACAGAGAGTCCTAATTATGATGGATACAAAGAAGCCCACTCCAATACACATCATAATTAAAAGGCCAAAGGTTAAAGATAAAGAGAGATTCTTAAAAGAAACAAGAGAAAAGAAGTGAGTTATGAGATGGTTGACAGATAGGAGTAGGGACAGGGAGAATGGGTGAAGGGGTGAGGGGATTAAGAAGTACAAATGGGTAGTCACAGAATAGCCATGGGAATGTAAAGTACACCGTAGGAAATCAAGTATCCAAAGAATTTATACGAACGACCCATGGACATGAACACATGGACATGATGGGAAGATTGCCTGAGGGAGTGGGGGGTGCTGGATGGAGGGGAGCAAAGAGGGAAAAATCAGGACAACTGTAATAGTATAATCAATAAAATGTGATTTTAAAAAAGACAAAAAAAAAAACTTGGCAAGGGCCAACCCAGTTTCAGAATTCCCAGTGAGGGTTGGTGGAGACCTCTGTGGAGAAGGCACTGCAGCCCAACTGCTCCCTTTCTACCCGATGCTACTTCCTTCCTTGCCACCGAAGCTGGTGACCTTCTCCCCAGTAACCTTCCTGCACTTCAACCTGCTTTTCAGAGTCAGCTTCCTCGGAACCTGGAGCCCGACTTGCAACATTATCTCATGTATCATGTGTGACATGGCTGAAGAGAAATTCAGAGCAGCTGCCTGCCGCAGGGTCCCCCACCTTCCAAATCCCCCCAGCAGCCACTGCTGCACACCCCACTATGCTTCTTGGTCACTTGGAGCACAGACACCTCCAGGAACCTCACAGGCTTCTTGCCCACATGAGTGCTAATGTCTGATAGGGTGTGGGTGGGCATCCCCTTGGACGCACTGAGAGCGCGAGATGTCACTCATCCCCTTTGGAAGGCTCCACGCTGCACAGACAGCCTCCAAGGAGCTCCAGCAGAAGCTAGAGACACAGTCTTGAGGGCTCTGGCCACTCCAGGCAGGCCTGTTTGCTCGGCCCCAGAATCGGTGTTTCCAGGCACACCACTGACCTGTTTCTGCCCCACAGCCTTGTGAGATGTTTTCCCTCTTCGTCTCTTTTAAGGCACCTGTTCACAGCATCCAGTAGCAGCATCACTTGATGTAAAAGGAGGATATTTGCTATGTTCCTCCTATGTGATGTTGGACAGTTTGGTGACTATCTGCCCAGCAGACCAACAGAAGCGTATGATCCACTATGAGTACCGGGCGAGATCGTGTTGAGCAGACCAGTGCTGTCCAACAGAACTTTTCTACAATGACAGAAATGTTCCGTGCCTGCACTGTTGATTCCGGCAGCCCTGGGGCCACTGAGTAGTGGAATAGGGGCTAGTATGTCTGAAGAGCTAAATGTTTGCTTTTATTTCATTTTAATTCATTGAAAAATCACACCTGGCTACTTTATTGAATAGCACACGTGTAAAACCAGAGCTTGGAATGTGAAAACTTAAAATCACGTCATCCCAACCATAAGGTTTTTGCAGGGGCATTCCTCTCAGGTTATCTGGAAAAGTTTATTGTAACCCACAGGCCTGGAGATTTTGTGTTCTTCCAGATCATCTATAAAACGCCAAATAAGGTTCTCCTAACAGCTTCTAAGAATTTCACCTTCACACTTATCCTGCCGGAGACATGTGCATTTAAGCAGCTGTTTCTAAGTCTGTCTATTTTTTCATGACAAAATGGGCCACAAGCCCTACCCTCAGTTCTTCTGCTCCCACCGCACCCGCAGTGACACACTCGGTTAAAAACCCATGGTTTGAAATCTTTGCAGATACTTCGGAAAAATTAAAGTAAGTCACATCCCCAGTTCCCCAGGCCAATTTACCCTAAATACACCCACGGGCTAGGCATGACTTTGCCACTTGCAGATTACTGTGTGTTTTTGGTGGGTTATTTTTGTGCTGTGTTTAGTGATTCTGCCCTTTATCATAAACCCCACGTCCTTGGGAAACAGAGCTAGGTGAAATGGGTCCGCTGGGTCCCTCAGGAATCCTGCTTATGCACAGAAATCATTTGCAATCCTCCGTCACTGGCACAGCAGCCATTTCAAAGACAAGACACATTTTGTCAAGATTGCTTGGTTTCCCTTCCTGATGGCAGCCAGTACATATGAGTGGATGCTTCCTTGGAGTTGAACACCGATCGATCCAGCCCCTCTGGTTCTCCCACCTCAGGGCCTCCTTTAGGGATGGGAGTCTCCCTTACATGCTCTAGAGTAGACCACTGGCAAGACTGTGACTTGTCAGGTCACTCCACTCAGGAGGAAGCAGCACAGTGCAGCAGTTCATTAAAGGCTTGTGGAGCCAGCTGCCAAGGGTTCAAATCCCATCTCTCCACCAGTGTGGCTTTGGGCAAGTTGTCCCCTCTGACAAATGAGGATGATGGCAGTCCATCTCCCCTGGGGTCCTTATAAGGATAAAGCAAGTTGGTTTGCATAAAGCATTTATTTACAGCAGTACTTGCCACAAAGTAAGTGCTATGTAAATATGATCCATTTTTTTTATCACCATAAGCAAAGCTTTCTTCATTGGTTTATTTCTAGCACACATTTTTTATTCTTTGGAAATAACTCAGGAGGCACTCTTTCAAGTCTGCTTTTCTGCCTCTTCATTCCCAGCTTTCACCGAGTCTCATACATTCCCATCCTCTCCCCTGGCCTCGCTCCGATTCTCCCACTCGTTTCCAGTTAGGCAGCAGAAGGCGCTGTCTCCTGGGATCTTGCTTATTTGGCATTTTGGTGTACACACTTTCCAGGATTTCTAGTAATATTCTTTAAAAGTTTTAGATTTATAAACATCCACCTTCACCTTCTCTCATTCCAAAGCAAAATAAGTGACAATCACATTTCCTACCAATTCAGCCCCATGAAACCTCGCTGTCCCTCTCTTTTGCCCCTCCCAGCTCCTAAACCTCCCTCTGGGAATGGGCGGGGCTTTGGTGGGGCCCGGAGCTGCAGCAGAACTGGCATTCTCCCTGTGTCTGCTCGGGATCCCTGGAGGAGGCGGGGTCAGTCACCAGTTGCCTAGAAGAGCTGGGAAGGTGGAGACATTACGAAGACAGATGCACTTTATTGATAAGGCAACAACATTATACGGGCTGAGACAGAGACCCCACCCATCTGGCCAGGGCCACATTGAGGGGTGGGGGAACTCTGATTCACATTGAGACACAGGCTGAGGTGTCCCCCACCCTCCTAACAGGTCAGTGAGGTGGCAACCCAGGGAAAGAAGGCAGAAGGTTGGGATCTAGACGTGCTCTGTCTAAAATCCAGCACTTTGCCCGAAGACTGGGCTCGGGAGTGGAAAGTGGGGTCTGAGCGCAAGCGCGGTGCAGTGAAAGGAGCCGGGACCACAGGTCCAAAGCCTGGGTCCAGGCCTGGTGCAGCTTCTGGCTAGTTACATGGGTTGGGTGAGTAGCGCCTCCCCGGAGTGTCCATGCTCTTTAAAAATGGGGTTGGATGACTTGAGTGATTTTCAGACCTTTCTCCCACTGAATAGCAAGCTGGACCAATGTATTTTACAGCTCAAATCAAACAAGGGTCTGCCCCTAATTTATAAAATAATGACAACAGCAATAATAATTAATGTACAGAATTTTCACAATATAAGTTCTCCCCCCCATAAATATCTCTTAATCAGTGGTGCATACTACCCGCTATATTAGAATGCAGTACAAAATGGAGTCTGATTCTAAAAACAACTCATATCTAATGAGCATAGGGTTCGGCCACAAGGGTGGTACTCCGTCTTCAGGAGCGTGGCTGTCGGTCGTTCTCCCACCTGGGGGCATGGATGGTTCCTGGGGTTCCCAGGGGACAGAGGAGGCAGGTGGAGGGGCATCCTACTGACACGAACCCCTCTGTGACGAGACATCAAATATGGCCATGTTCCCAAAACTCAAGTAACGATCTGAAGGACCCTCTGGGGCTCCTGGAAGAACCCTCTCAGCGTGGGTCCCACATACCTACAACTCACTCCCCGAGAAACTCCACCCCGGAGTAAACAGACCTAGAGTTTCCACCTCCTAGGGTGGTCTGGCTATGAAGAACATGGAGTTTGAAGTTATATACCCTAACTCCTAGACTGCCCCCAGGGCTCCATCTGACTTTGGGTGGTGGAGAGAGAATAAGGGGACCAGCCCCACGTGACACCACCTCTAAATGCGCTCTGACTAGCCACCGAGGCGAACCCACTCTCCCTGAGGTCCACACCCTGAGGTCTTGGAGCACCAGCTCCTGGGTTTCCAGGGAACAGCTATCTGAGAACTACACCTAGGTGGGCAGGGAGGGTGTGACTTAGGCTGTTGGGGTCTGGAAGTTCATCACCTCCATCCCATCCCACCAGGTGGAAAAGACATGGCCCCACTGGTAAGCAGAGTGGGCACTGCTTCTCCGGACTATGAGGTCGTTGGGAGACTGGGCCAGTCTCTGGGTCACCCTTGGCCATCCTAGAGCAGGGCCCCAAAAGCATCTGTGGCCAGAGTGGGAGGGCTCTGGAGCCTGCGGCAGGTTCTCTTCCTGGGGTGGGAGGTAAGGCACTGTCAGGGGAGGATGAGGGTGGTACCCATTGCTTTTCTGCAACCTGGGGGCAACTCAGTCCTGCCATGTGGACGGCTGGAAGAAATGCTCCTGCCTCAACTCACTCTTAGATCCAGGCTGCGAAGCCATGGGGTTGGTGACAGGGACAGCTGGGGCCACCATCCACCATTCTTCTATGAGGCTGGGGTTGCCTGTCCCCTACCACCTGGGCCCTGCTTTCTTCCCTCCTTGGGTGTCTGAGCAGGTGGGTTCTGGGCTATGGGGGGAAAAACCCCTCACCATAGTTGCTTTAAAGGAGAATGTTACCATGGTGATGGGATGAAGGTGGGCTCTGAGGGGTTAGGCAAGTGCACTTTGGCCAGCAGAAGGTGTGTAAGGGGTGACTTGTGAGCTTAGTCACCCTGGTTTTGGTCATCCTGGGCAGTGAGTTTCCTAGATGCGCCAGGGAGAGGAAGGCAGAGGGGGAAGGACCCATCAAGGCACGCTGCCCTGGAACAGAACACACAGAGTGGAGGCAGGATGAGCTGGGGGTAAAGTGGGGGTGGTGGCCAGTTCTTGATCATGAGTGGAACAAGGGGAGGGAGATCCCCACCAGGGTCTGGACATATGGACCTGAACTGGCGGAGGTATAGGTATCTCTCCCTGAGGAATGGGTGTGTTTTTCCTGCCTACCTAATCCCTGGGCACCAGCCAGCAACTACTTCTGGCATACCCAGGTAAGGCCCCACCTTTGGCCTTTGCCCTCTGCCCTCATTTCAGTCTCTGTCAAATAAACAGCAACTCCTCACAACTGAGGTCTTGAGGGGCTGGGGTCAGCCTGCGGCCTATAGGTAGCAGGGGCCTGGTGTTAGGTTGGGCAGGAAAGAGGACAGACAGGACAGGGAGAAGAGGTGGGAGGGGAGGGGCTATACTCCGGAGTGGGTAGGAAGGGCTGCTGGGCAGCAGCCAGCCCTAGGCCCAGGCACAGGTTCCCAGAGGAGCAGCCCCACCCAGGCACCACCACAGGCTGCTGTAATCAGGAGATCTCATTGCCAAACACCTCCAGCACGAGGGGTGTGAGCTTCATGCTGCACTCAGGCTGCAAGGAGAGGTAGCGGTACTGCTTGGAGTACTCCTCGTTGAGGCTTCGCAGGTCAGCCAGCTTCTGGATCATCTTGGCATAGAGCATGTGGCTGCCTGGGGGCGGGTGGCGGCAGCGGATATAGGTTTGCAGTGTATTGGACAGGCGGTCCTGGATGGCCTCAACCAGCGGAGCATCCTGCACTCCAGGACGGTCTGTGGGCACACGGAAGCAGGAAGAGGAAACACAGGAGCTCTGAGCTGGATCCTTACTGTTCCATGTCCCCACTACCCCTCCATCCACAGAGGCAGACTCCCAACTTCAGCATCCTCCTAAGTCACCCCTGCATGGATGCTGACCTGTGACATCACAGTCCTTCCTAACTACCTCAGCTACCCTCAACTACCATCCATTGCATTTAGGGGCAAGCCTCAAGTCCTTCTATAGACCCATCTGACCCTGTCCCCACCTTATCTCTCTCCCTCTATCTCTAGAGTCCATCTTTCCATTAGTATTCTGATGCAACATGCCCTCTGGCCTCCAGATTCACATTCACGTTCCCTGTGCCTGGAACTCAGCTCTTTGTCTTTGCCTAATTCTTACTGATCATTCAGATAACAGCTTAAAAGACCTTCAAGAAGGCCATTCCTGATGACTTCCTACCTCCATGCCCCAGACTATATCAGGTTCCCTCTTTCTATTATACCCAGCTATAGTATCACATACTTCTTTATTTTTTTAAAGCTCCTATCATATTATAAATTAGTTGTTAAATAGTATTTGTTTAATGTCTCTTCTTACACTTCATAGGGGAGAAGTCCTGTGTGCTGCTGAATTGCTATGCCCAGCACAGTGTCTCATACCTAGTAGGTGCTCAATAAATTATTGCTGGGTATATGTATGAATAAATGAGTGAATGCTGGCTGAAAAGGGAAGGTGAGTCCATGTGCATTCCTTGGTTCCCAAGCCTAGGACAGCATCACTGGGTAGAGCCCACTCACTTTTTCCTGAGTACAGTCCGGGCTAAGTCAGGGCTGCCTTACTTTGGGCCTCATCACTGACATAGCATCCTCAGGACCACAATAACCTCTTCCTCAGCCTGTCTCCCTCTCATCACCCCAAACAAGTAGAAGAGCTCATAGATCACAGCACCCTGCCTCCAAAATTAGTCATGTAAACTGTCTAGGCAGAACCATCCACCAGGCCCCAGGGTCTATTTTAACCTGCCCTCCTCAAGTGTCCTCAAGTGTCAAGGGGACCTCAGGTGTCAAGGAAGTTCAGTCCAGTTCACATAAAAGCACAGCCTGAATATTGGAAATATCCAGGTCTGCCTGTGGCCTGAGAAACCCCATCTATCTGGTTCCTAAGAATCCTACCTATGAATCACCAATGGCCTCAGTACACAGACACCACATGGGCTTTGCAAACCCAGCAAAGAGGGTGTTTCCTGGTCTTTCTGTCCCCTTGCTCACTTATCCCTCAAGATCCCTCCCTGATCCTCAGCAGGGCTTCATTGCTCATACCCCTCATGCCCCAGGCCCCTGGGTTCCTCACCGCTAGGCCTCAGCATACCTGGAGAGACAATGCAGATGGCCATGAGCAGGACATGCTCTTCCTCATGCAAGTTCAGCTTCTTTAGCCCCACCTGGAACTTGACGAGTGGCTCGATCAGCTCCAGGCTGTGTCCGGCTAGGAGACAGAATGGCCAGATGCTGTGGGCAGAACCGAAGAGCCACCCATCGCACCCCACCCCACATCCAACCCCGACTGGGCCTGACCCTTGCCCTTTTTTCCTTGCTGTTGCCTAATCAGGGCCCCTGACCCTAGGATTGGTAGGATCAGAGTCTGGGAGACAGAGAGGGTATAGGTAGAGCCCAGACACACCTTTTGCCACATCACTGATGCGGTATTTGTAGTCCTCACCACCACAGGTCCAGGACATGTCGTCCGTGGTGAAGGACTGGTTGGACCGCAACATGATGACCTCAATGGCACTTGACTTCAGCAGCACAATCTGGTCTTCAGAGGTCAGGTCTCTGCCAGGAAAGGGCAGAAGTGAGGGTCAGGTTATCGGTCAAGACCTTCAAGTCATGCAAATAAGTGTAGTGTTTTGACAGGTCGACACCTGCCAGGTGATCAGTATGTGCCCTGGATCCACCATGGAGGAACGTGAAGCCAGGTTGGAAAGAACAAGGCTGTTTCTTGAGGGAGAACAACTCAAGACTATATGTCAAGGTAAGAAATGAAATAGCTCAGTTACTAAAGACAAGGAAAACCCAGTGACTTACCAGGATCTCCTGGTTCTAAGCAGCCAGAAGTATTTTAGGGACAGGAAGACAGAGCCTGAGGAGGCTCCTAGGGTTATGGCATGAACATGGTGGTCTACAAATGCACGGCCATGGTCATCTTCAACAGCTCCCATGCTTTTCTCCCTCTCTCTCCTCCTGTCCTCCGGTCCCTCCTAGTAGTAAAGCTCAGCCAACTCCGCCTCCAGGATGTCTCTGCAACCCTTGACCTCATTCCCACTCCCACCAGGACTTCTCTGCTTAGAGCCCCATCACCTTTTTGAGTCGCCTCCTACTAGAATCCTGGAGTCAAACCTCTAGGGTCTCTCATTCATCTTTACTGCTGCTGCAGGGAAGTAACGCACTCCTGTGCTCAGAAATCCTCACTGACTATCAAACACCCCAGGATCAAGCTTGCACGCTATAAATTGGCTCCAACCTGTCTTTCCAGCCCCACTTCCCATTGCAAATGCCACCAACCCTTCATTCTAGCAACTACGGACAACTCCACATTCAGGTGCTGTTCTCACATCGTCATGCCTTTGAGCATGAGAGAGCTTTTGGCTGGGAATGCCCTTCTCCTCCACCTCATCTTTCAGACCCTGAACCTGGCGGGGTCTCCTGGGGAGCCCTCCACCCTCTGATTCCCTTCAGTGGAATCAGAGCCATTCCTTTACAACTCACTGTGCATTGCTTTTACTCTTGTTTTCCCCTTTCCACTTTGGCTCTGTTTCTTTTGTAGGCCTGTTTTGGACCTTAACTGTAAGCTACTTGAGGGCCAACACCACCTCTTAATTACATTAATGTTGCCCACACACTGATCACTTAGTCCTGAGCACAAGAGAGGGTCAACAAATATGCCAATGAGTCACACGGCCAATGACTGGTTCCACTATTGCGGTGAGAGGTGATGTGTTTCAGTGTCTTCCCCAGCATTCTTGACACACGGTTCCCACGCAGCCTCCACAGGGTTCCCCCGGTGCCAGCCATGAAGCTGTTTATTCTTCGTTAACAGCCTCTTATTCTATTGATCTATAACTCCCATGACGACACGCTCACCCGCTGCTCGCACTTCTACTTCTGTCTTCTCAAGGAACACAGAGTCAGACCTCTCCACTAGCCATGGGTTCCCTTTGTCCGTTTAAAAAAGCTGTCGTGCACCCCTTGCATCTTCCCCAGGACGGACAACCCCGACGACACGGCGCCTGGACACCCCGCCTTCCTTGTCACTGTTCTCTGGATGCTCAGTCCACATTTAAAAAAATAAAAACTCACACCACCCCCACTTGGGTTTTAGTTCATTATACAAGGTAAGCATAGTCATCGTTACATCTTTGGAAAATACAGAAAAAATAAATAAAAGCAAATAAAAACTACTCATAACCACAATGAACATTTTGGTACATTTCCTTATCTTTTTTTCTATGCAAATATCTTTTTTACTCCAGTTCATAGTAGTTCTGTGTCCCACTTCTTATATCACTAAAGTTTCTGTAGCCCAGTTCATAGAGGGTTGCATAATGTTACATTATATCAACACTATAAGTTGTTTAATCAGTCTCCTATCCACCTAATTTGGGACATTTTGGTCACTTCTAATTTTTTGATATTATACGTCCCTTTGTGGTGATTATCTCAGCACATAGCCCTCTGTTCAATGGCCCACTGAAAATGAATGCCTGAAGGGGTCACACATCCCGCGAGAGTTTAGCCAGAGAGACGGCAGGGGGACCACTGTCTGTTGTGATCTGGACATGCTACTTCTGTGAAAGCAAGTCTAGAATGACCTAGAATTACCACCCATGGTCTGGAGATGCAGGGCATTTCTAAGTGCAGCTCACAGCCAGGCTGAAGCTGATGGCGGGTGGAGGCAGAGGTGGGGAAATCCTTAAAAAAACTTGTTCCTGCTACGTAGACACCAGCATGGGCTCTGTCCTCTTCCCCAGACCTGTGTCACATTGATACCCAGATCGGTTCCATACCTGGGGCTGCTTCTGGGCACCTGGGTGGTGCCCTGGAAACATGTCTCCCTCTCGGCTTCTCCAGCCCCCAGGCAGAGTCCAGCCCCTCCCGCTGTATTCCCATGGTCCCTCCAGTGGGCCTCTCTAGAGCTCTTATCTTTTCCCAGCAGTTGTTCACGTGTCTATCTCTTCCATCAGCCACCCAGCCCCAGGGAGGACAGACTGTCCTTGTCAACTTTAATCCCTCAGTTTATGTAAGAAAGCAGTTGGTTGGATAGATGAACACGTGAATACAGAGCAAAGGGCATAGGAAGTACTATGACCCCCAGGTCTCAGGCCCAGGCAGGAGACCCTGGGAATGGAAATGACAGTGAGGTTGAAGACATTTAGCCACAGGGCTGGGCTCCAGCTGATCCGGCCTGGTCGCCCTTGCCCATCTCTTGGCAGGGAAGCCTGTGGTCCTTGGTTCTCCCACCCAGGACTGCTCCTGGGCCCACTTCCTCCGTGCATTTCTTTTGCAACAGTGAGGGAGGGAGATTTGTGGGGTGCAGACTGAGAGTCAGAGAGGGGAGTAGGAATTAGGAGCAGAGCCTGGGATCACCACACAGTGCAGTTTGCACCCAACACAGCCCATCCAGTCCTACCCCACTTAGGTCCTGTGCCCGCATTGGAGTCTCATCATGCACCCCCCCACTCCCAACTCACCCACACGGAAGTCCAATCCAGCCCTCTACACACCCTCCACCCTTGCCTGCAGGCAAGAAGATCAAAGCCACCAGGCACTAGCCGCTGTTCTTTCACTTCTTGGAAAAACAGAACCCCTCAGTGCAGAAACCGGCAGAACCAGAGAGCTAGTGGGCTGGCTCCACCTGGGCCCCACTGGAACCTGGGCCCTGGCCCCAGTCCAGCCGCAACAGCACCTCTGTCCAGTCACAGAGAGCACCCACATCAGTGTGCCCCCAAGAGCTCTTGCCAGGGCCTGCTCCATTTCTGTTAGAACACATTCTGCACCAGGACTTCTCAAGTCAGGCTGAAGAGAGAGAAGCCAATCCGAGCAGGTTCAGGACCAACCAAAGTGGCTTTGCATCAGTGACTGGACAGCTCCTGTACCCGCCCATGTGCATGTCACCTTGGCCTCAACTGCAGGGCTCGCTGAAGGAACTCTGGAAAATGAGGCTTGAAAGGGAAGGAACGGGGCAGACTTCAGCTCATCCTTGGGGAGAGAGACTGAAGGGCTGGCCATGAAAGTTGTATAAGGGCACATGTGCTGAGGTTAAGAGATAGGGGCCAAGGGCATGGGAGGAAAAAAGGGGGTTTGGGCTACATAATGGAGGATCCACAATAGGGTAGTCAGTTAAATGAGTGGCTTTCTCTTTAGGACACTGTTCCCTCGCATGCCGTCCCAACCACCACTTAGCATCACCGGACCTTAGCGTCTGGACAGGGCATCAGACGCCCTTTCGTCCCTGGCCGCACTAGGCAGGGAAGGATGAGTGCTGCGTGGAGGACAGCTGCCGCCTTGAACTAAGACGAAAGCTGGGTGCTACTGTGTATCCATCAGCACCTTGAAGTGTTTTTCTCTCTAGCTGTTTACATAAAACAAGACTTTGGAACACATGGAGTTTGCAAACAATAACACAAGAGTTGAGGAGAAGGTTGGAACTTGTACTAAGTGGAATGTGTTGTCTGTTCCAAGGAAAGGCTCTGGAGGGTAAATCCCAGGCCCAGCACAATGCGGAGCTCACAGGTGACACTGAGCGGCTTGCTCCTGCCTGCCTGCCTGCCTGCCAGAGTGGCCCTTGCTCCTTCTGCCACAACAAAATGTACAATGCAGTAAGTGTCTCAATGCCATTTGGTGTTTTTCTCTTCTTTACAATTTTTGCATTAGGTCCAGGGAAAGAGCACCGGCAAACCCCTGGTATCTGGAGAGGTGAGAGGCATGGAGTAACAGAGCCAGCTGTCTCAGGGCAGAAACAAACTGGGAGGTGCTGAGCTTAGCTTTGTGAACTGCCATTATCTAGCTTGTAATGAGGGAACTCCGACAGTAGCTGCTGACTTCCCTGCATAGCAGAGAGATTCACAAAACAATAAATGGTACCTCACTTCAGTTTCCACTCAGTGCTAGCCCACGTCAAACTGTGTTGCTGCTCCCAGTACGCCAGCTCTGACCCTGAGCACCAGTGTCGAGGGAACATTCTGCTCCTGCTGCTATGATGGCCACTATTGGCGATGACAATATTGCTTGGTATTAATGTATTTCTATTTCTCAACCACATTATGTAGGTGTTTTATGACAATGTTCTAAAGAATGAGGGTGTGAATGTATATACATTTAGATATAACTATTTCCCAACATATCTGCTAACAGTGTCAATTCTTAACTATTTTAAGAATATTTGACACTGCATGACTCTTTAAATATAAGTATTATACATGCCATTACCACCAAGACGATAAAACACCTGAATGAATGAATGGAATTTGTATGAATGACTCCGTAACAGAGGATCTCTACTCCAGTAGGCCTCCTTACACTTACCCCTTTGGGCAAAAAGTTCTCAGCACGGTTAGGAAATGGCCTTGAGTGAAGGGTAAACTGGGTGAAGGATGCCCAGATCACCTATGCCAGTTGATCTGTCTCCCTCTAGAACTCCTCAATGACCTCACAAGTCTTCGTGCCCAGCCCTCCATCCCCTCCACCCCTTCATCCTTGTTTCAGAATCGAGTGTGGAGGGCGAATGTAGATTTAATTTAAAGGCACAGTATGGGGATTGAACTCAAGCCAGCTGGTGTGGGCACAGCAGTGAACTAAGGGCTCCGGACCTGCTCTGACAACTGGCTCCAGCACTGGAAGGCCTGGCATTGACCTTCCGACCGTGCCGGGCTTCCGGTGCACCATCCAGCAAGGGTGGGGGGTGAATAGCTCTCCAGTGCGGCCTCCCAAGTAATGCTGGTGGGCAGCCCTTCCTAAAACACAGACCCCCTGAAGTACGGCATCCAGAGACTCCGATTGAGGAGGTCTGGGGTAAGGCCTCACTCTCTGTTTTGGGAAGAGGTGGATTTGTGATCTCTAAGTCTCCTGCAACGGACTCTAGGATTCTGTGTTTCCCAGACGTCCCCAAAGCCTCTTACCTGAACCCTGGGATCATCTTGGCAAAGCCAATAACCTTTTGGATGCTGTAACTGACCAGGTCAGCGAGGTGGGGCAGCATGGAGAGGTGGGACAGGTCGACGGTCACAGAAGATTCATCTGAGTCCTCTTCGCTCAGATCCAGGTTGGAGAAACTGGTCGCCCCCGTCATGTCTGAGGGAGGATGAGGGGTGAAAAGGAACCGCTGGAGGACACTGGAGCCAGGCTTCCTCCTGCGTGGCCCCGGGGAGGACCTCCTGTGCCTTGGCAGGTGGGCCCGCTGGGAATCCCACAGGGGCCACCTCTCTCCAAGGTCACTCGTCAGCCCAGGCTTTCCTCCAGGATTCCCCCGTCTCTTTTCTCGGCAGAGTGGGGCGGTCAAACCAAAGATCGCAGGTCCTCCAAAAAATGAGGCTTCCTCGAGCCATGATTTTACGTCCTTGCATCTTGTTTCTAATGATCTCAAGTCAAAAGTGAATTTGGAACCAATACGCTTGTGAGAAACAATGTTTAACCTCACTAGTGATCAAAAAATTGTCAAGTAAAACATCTGCACTCTCCACCTAGAGACTAGGAACAAATACGGTTCAACGTTGACACCAGCATTTATGAAGATGCGGGAGCCGGCAACCCTCGGGCAGCGCTGGGGCGCGGAAGGAGGCTCGGATCTTCGTGCGCCTCCATCTAGGAGGCTGCTGGCGGCAGGGGTCAAAACCCCGCAGAGGTGCGGACTCTTTCACCGGCCACCCCACTTCCTGGGATTCGTCATCAGGAAAACATTCCAAGTAAGTGCAAGTATTGCACTTACACAAGCACACAGTTACCTTAATGAGAAGCTGGGAAACAGTCTCATAGATACCCAGAGACAGGGGATTTAGATATGTTACTGTACATTCACACCCCAGTTCACTATGCAGGCTTTAAAAATAATCTAGACGTATGCTGACTGACTGACGTGAAACTATGATACAATGTATTCTTGTGGGAAAAAAGCAAATTACCCGTCTGGTCTGCGTGACACAATTCCATTTCTGAATATACATACGTGTCAAAAAAATGAGAAAGAGCGACGTCCCAATGCTGACAGTGATTGTCTTTGGGTGGTAGAACTAAAGGTTATATATATGATATATAGTTATATCTTATATATAGTTATATATATAACCTTATATATAATAATATATAGTTATATGTATAACCTTATATATAATAATAATTATTATATATAAATTACATATATATAAAATTTAGCTTTTAGTTTCTTTTTTAAAAAATGTTCTCATGTTGCTCAATTACAGTTGCCCCCATTTTCCCCCCATTGCTCTCCCCTGCCCTGCCCACCCCATCACCCACAGTTAGTCCTCCCCCCTTGTTTTTGTCCAGGGGTCCTTTATGCATGTTCCTTGATTTGACCCCACCCCTTCTTCCCCCCATTATCCCTGCCACGCCCTCCCCCCCCCCAGTCACTAACACTTTGTTCTTTACTCAATGTCTCTGGTTCTATTTTGCTTGCTTGTTTGCTTTGTTGGGTAGGTTCCACTCATAGGTGAGATCATATGGTATTTGTCTCTTACTGCCTGGCATTTTCCTAATGTCTACAATGAACATGTACTACTTTTGTATGATACTTTTTTTAAGTAAAAAATATTAACTAGTTTGAATTTTTAAATAAATATATGCTATACAGATTGTAACATTGGTGGGGGGTGAGCATCTCAAATCAACTAACCTATGAGAAGTTACCAAAACTCTTAGATAACATAAAATTATTATGAAAACCTGGGGTACAGACCAATGTATAACATACAGATTGACCCTCATGGATGCAAATGAGTGTGCTGTGAAGAGGCGGTGGGAGGGGATCCTAGGTGAGGGGCTCAGGGGGCTGGTCAGTCCACGCAGCGATCAGTGTCGAGGGGTGGGCACAGTGTCTGGCTCTACGGCCATCTCTGTCCCGTGGGCACTGGGACCCCAGCCACCTCTCGAGGACGTAGGCACAGATTCATCTGTGAGCCTGGAGGGCTCTCGTTCCCAGAGGGGAGGGGAAGCCCCAAGCAGAGAGCAGCGAGGCTGAGGCTGGGTGAGAGGTAGAGGATGAAGGGCAGGCGTGGGGGAGGATGAGGCAGGAAGATGAGGAGGAAGGTGAAAGAGGGACCTAAGATCCCCCAGGACTCCGGGGTAAGGTGGGCAGCAAAGGGACACATATGTCCTTCCACACCAAATTTCACCGTCCAAAACTCTCAGGCTCTGATGAATATAGTTCACAGCACTGTTTTGTATATTGAAAGTTGCTAAGAGAGTAATCACATACACACAAACCTTTGTAACTATGCGAGGTGATAGATGTTCATTTGGCAATGTATGCATATATCGATTCATTATGTTGTGCACCTTGAACTTATAGAGTGTTATCTGTCAATCATCTCAATAAAACTGGGAACACTAAAGGAACAAACAAACAAAAAACCCCAAAGGGCCCGGGCTCCAAATACCACGCAGAGGAATCTGGTTGCCCCCAGGGAAGGAGCTGGGGCAGAAGCCTGGCTTCGTGGAAGAGCAGGAGGCTCTACGGGCAGACCTCGCCCGGGGCCCCAGCTTGGCCTCTTCCCCAGCGTGGGCCCTTGGGCAAGTTCCACCTCTTCTGTAAGGAAGGGTTGTTCTGGGGACACAATGTGGCCCACAGTGTGGCAGTGCCATCCTCCCCCTGGCAGCCCAGGGCCGAGGTGGGGGAGCTCTGGGCTCCTCTCCCCAGCTCACTAGGAGGGAGGTGCAGCCCCGTTACCTGAGGAGGTGCTGTAATGATCGGAGCAGGAGGAGGACGACGAGTCCCCGGAGCAGCTGGGCATGTGTCTCGAGAACGGCCTGCATGGATGGCTGTCTCCACCCTCAGGCCCTCGGACCGGAGGCTGGAAGAGAAAGATGGAGTATCAGTAGCTCACATTTCTGGGCCACCTCCCTACCTTGGCCCTGACCTCTGACAGGAGGAGCCTTAAGGAAGTCCCATGGGGGATGCTCTCTGAAATGAGAGAGACAGAGCACCCCCACTGGGTCTCCCTGCTGGGTCAGGGTGGCCCGACCCTCCGTCCCACTCTCCCCGCCAGGTTTCCCTTGCGGCTCGTCCTCCCCGGCCAGCAGGCAGACGTACCCGGAACTGGCTGAAGTCGGCGTAGCTGGGGTCGTAGGTCTTGTGGTGGGCGTCCAGCAGGATGCTGATGATGTGCTGCTGCTCCTCCGACAGCCGGGGCCGTAGACTGTCCTTCAAGGCTTCCTCCTCCTTCCTTTTCATGATCATCTCTCGTTTCCGCTGCACCTCCTCATCCGTCAGGATGACTGTGGGCGGGAATAGGGCATCACGAGGGCTAGGCCACCAGCTCCCCCAAGAACCCTTCCTCTCTGGTTGCTAGAGACACACGATGGGAGGGCCGCTCCCCACCAACGCACACGCTGGGAGCTCATGGGAAGGGGTGGGAAGGGGCCTCCTGCCTCAGGGGAGGCCAAACCCACTCTGTGGGCGGAAAATTGGGTTTTCTGTGTCGGAAAGGCAGGCACATGAGAGAGGAGGGAAAGGAAGATTTGAGAGGTGGGTGATCTGGGCACCTGGGTTCTCACGTACACGTTGTGTGAACCTGAGCAAACCGAACGCTGGGCTTTTGTTCTCTCATTTACAAAATGACAAGTTTGGTCCATACACTCTCCTCCAAGGTCCCGTTTTTGTTCCTCCCTCCATAAAGTGTGTCTGTTGGCGGGGGGTGGGGGGCAGAGTAAAATGTCTGCCTTGAAAGACGGGCAGTTTTGAAAACTGAGTGCAGTGTGTGCCTGGCACAGAGCAGCTGCTCATATTCCCTAATCCTGACGGAGACACGACCGGGAGGAGAGGACTGAGCCACCACGTGGGCAGCCACGGGAGATGCTGAGAAGACCCCTCCACGTGGCCATTCCCGCGTCCACCTTTCCAGGTATGGAACTCAGGCTTCTCATCCACTCTGACCAACACAGAAAGACTTTGCGTCTTTGGTTCCCTGCAAAACAGTACCTCTCCTAGCCTGCCCAGTCTTGAGATTTCTGCCCAAAGAAGCTGTGGAGGCCTCTAGAAGTCCCCGATGACCGCACCTCACAGTTCTGATCTGGGAAGTTCTCTCCAGCTGCTAGGCAGGCGTCTGAAGATGCGGAGACTTTCCGCCCCCTTCCCGCTGCGCAGGGGGTTCGGGTGGTGCTGGGGCAGCTGCCCGGGAGGGCGGGGCTGGGAGCAGGGATGCCTGGCACGGAAGCCGGGCAAACAGACCTCTTGGCCGGGGCTTGCCGAGAGCTGACGGCGGGAGTGGGCACTGGGGCCCTCAGCCTGTAGCTACTTGCTCTGTGTTGGTGTTGCCAGGGCCTCTGCCCACAGAACTGGGGAGTTTCACAAGAGCAGGGAAAGGAACCAGAACCTCAGAGTGGGTGGGTTCCAGGCTTCAAGAAAGGCCCATTGGCTCAGGTGCCTTGGGAGGGAGAGAACGCAAGAAGTTGGTAGGGGTTGAGAGAGAGCCTGGGGGTGGGAAGAGTGGGCAACCAGAACCTCAGGCACAGCAGAAATGGGGCGCCTGCAGCAAAAGATGGTGTGTTCCTGCCACGGCTGAGGTAAGCAGCACTGGGAGGAGGACACGCCAGGTTACTGACTCACCTGCCCAACTTTCTGCCAACCCTCCTCCCACAGAGGGTGTCTGCTCAGACCCCAAGAGGTCAAGTGGATTGGGAGAGGAAGGAGCAGGGAGCATCCCAGCCGAGGCAGGGTGCAAGACTCTGTCCCGGAGAACCCAAGATTAGGAGTCTGGTCTTTCCTGCTCGCCCGAGGGGTGGGGAGAAGAGGCGATGAGACTGGAGCTACAGGCAGCTGGCTCTGCCAGTCACACAGGTGTCCACGGGCTTGGACCGCTCTGTGGTACCATGGCGTCTCTCTCCTGCTCAGAAACTTTTCCTGGGTCCTTACAGCTTTCCACATCCAAACTAAAGTCAAGATTCTCCATGATTTTGCTTCTTCCTAACTTTCCAACCTCATATTCCAGTACCTGCTCTGGTCATGTTGGAGCTGCTTACCTATAACCAGGAGCTGCTCACCCTTGCACCATATTCCCACTTCTGCTGGATGCCTGGCCAGCGGGGTCTTCTCTCCCCAGTAGCTGTGCAAGTTCTATCTGTTCTTCAGAGCCCAGCTTACAGATGGCTCTCTCTTACCACGAAGGCTTTCTTGGATATTGCCTGGATATGCACTGAGCTCTCCTTTCTTAATTCTGCACTATGTCCAGTTTTTCCTACATACATTGGCACCCAATTGCCTTCCACTCTAGAATATTTATTATTAGTAAAGTTTCCAATAAGTGCATGTAGAGAGAGAGCCTAAGGAGTTTAAGTCCCTCTTCACTAGGAATATAAGCTACTTTAGGGGAAGGAGCCACGTGTTGTAAGTCCTGTCCCCTGCAAACGCTAGCCCAGTGGAGCTTCCTGGATTTGGTACTTGCTCAGTAGTCTGATATATTGGACTCTCACACATCACATTGATGGCACCCACTATGTGCTAGTCATTGTCCAGGCTCAGGAAAGGACAGTAAGGGGTGTGCACCAGGACTGCATGCACCCTGCAGTGTCGGGAGTAGCTCCCACGAAATGCCAGTCCACTGGACAGCTGAGCCGACCTACTTTTTTATTTAAGTAATTGTTACCGAAACATTCTGTACACAGGATACCTTGTAACAGCACACCTGTGACATCATGTAACCTTTTCTTGGGGATTCAGAGGCACCATCCAGAACAATTACTGGACTTCGCAGGAACAAGGCTGTGGCCTCAGAGTTGTAGAGGGCTGCTCGCTTGCACTCCGTAACTCAGCCTGCTGTGCCTTTGGGTTCCTGCGCTACTTCGCATGGCTCTCAGCCTCCCTCTCTCTGTTAGTTAGGTGCTGTCTCTTCCTACTGCTGCCTGCCCCAGAAGTGCGCCTTCTCCCCCTGAAGAGTTACTCCCATTCTCTTGGGAGCTTGAAATTCTGGTGATCAAGTTTTATGTAATAAAAAGGTGTTAATAAAAATGGATAACATATGTAAAGGTTTTTATGTACTGGGCACAACTCCAAAGGATTCTTCTTTATGAACTCACATCTATTTAGTCCTCATAAGAACCACTTAAGGCAGGTGTTATTATCCCCATTTTGCAGATGAGGAAACTGAGGCCCAAAGGCTATGCACCTTGCTCAAAGTCACCGAGCTAACAAGGGTGGAGCTGGTGCTCAGGCGAGGCCAGGGTGGTTCTAGATAGAGTCCATGGTTATAACCGTGACCCCGCACTGCCCCCAATCAGGATCTGCTATGATGGCTCAGTAGGACCTTGGTCCTCAGCATTGAACACACATCATGTTCCAATCCATCTGAAGAGTGTGAAGAGTTAAAGAAAGTAGCAAAGTTTGTAAATGACTTCCTTTGAAAGGACATAATTTAAAAAGATTTCATGTTAACTTGTGACACCATTCCTCTGGATCACTCGTGTTAAATAGGGACCCCCGTCCTGTGTGCAGTACCAGAAGAAGAAGTGCTGGGGTTGGCTGGTCCAAACAGGGCCCCCGGTGCTGGGGCTGCCCCCAGGCCATGCTGTCTGGGGGCTGAGAAGTCCTAAGTCTCTCACATATGCAGAGACTGTTGTGATTTACAAAATACGTTATTTGTTCAAAGGGGTTATTCATTTCATAGGAGGCTGTCACTTTCTCAGTGAATTTCTACTAAAAATGCCACTACTGCCACGTAGGAAGACATGTGTTTTACGGTTAAAAACCACTGACCTAGAATGAGAACAACCAGATTCTGAAACCGCATCTGATGGCGCTCCCAAAACTAAAGTGCATGGGCTATGCACGGTTAAGTCCGCACCTAATGTCGTTGGTAGGTTCTATGCCTTTAAGCAAAATGTAAGTAACGAAAACAATGTTGCCGTGGGCTAAATGACATAAGCGAGATCTGGTTCCTACTGCATCGTTATTCGGAAATCTGCCCTACGTGGACTTTGTGAAACCCACATGTGGCTTCCCAGTAGCTTTTCCCATTCCTTCTAAGTTCCTTGCTGAGTGAGAAAGTGGCTTTGGGCAAGCTATTTGCATGCAAGAGAATCGAGTTAGGGAGGCAAGGTCTGAAAGCACAAACAACTTACAGTAAAAACATTTCAAACTGTCACTGGTGGCCTAAGGACAACATCAGGGAAGCAGACATACAGGTTTCTGAGATTTGTGGCACAGATGGCATCAGGTCTGGGGGCCTTCCCAATGCACAGGCCAGTGGGAGATGTAGTTGATACAAAGAAGCAAATGGGGAGCTAACATTCAGTCACTCAGCACATGTTTACTGAGCACCTACTGTGTGCCAGGTTCTGTGCTAATTCGGGGTAGAAAAGATGGACAACTGTAGAAATGCTAAACAAGTGAGCATAATAAGCCATTCTGTGTGAGACTGGCCCACAAGAAGCAAGGACTCAGCAATGAGATTTTGGGGGCTCCAAAAACATGAAGCCAACTAGGACTTGAAGAGAGAGAAAGGGAGGCTTTGGTGGGACACACTTCTCTTCAGCTGGTCCGGCAGGGCCGAAGGCAGTGCCCGGAGACGCACAGTGGGGAGCTCGGGCGCACTGCAGGCCCCGTGGGGCTGTGCTGGGCTGGAGCCCTTGGGCCCCGGTCGGCTGAAGACACACCTGGGTGAGAATGCCGACACCATCATCTTCCTGTCTTAGAGGCGTATTATTTTAATTCTTCTGAGTTTTCTCATCTTTTGGATCTTAAAAAGTATTCACATATTTAGGAATTATTGTAAGCATTTAACAAGAAAACACGCATGCCTGGCACATATCTGGCGCTCGGGAGGTGGGCAACAAACCTTGGTTCCCAGGCTCATCCCCTTCGCCTTCTCAGTGCCCCCCAGGGGAGGGCCACCTCCACGGCCCCATCAGAAGGGGCCTGGGTCTGCATCTCCCTTCACAGGCGGCTCTAAGGTGTCCTGTGCTTTACAGATGTTGACGCTGAGTTGTCCCCAGAAGCCTAGGCCTTGGGGACAACAGCCAGCCCTGGTGATCACAAAGGAGCCGCCACCTCCAGGATGTGAGCTGGGAGCTCCAGGCCTCGGCGCGCTGACAGGCCTCCCGGAAGTGGGCTGACCCGAGGAGGGAACCACACCTGCCCCTGGAAGACCTTCCCTTCGGGGCAGCGGACTAAGAGCTTAATGCTGGACCGGGGTCTCCATTCTCAGTGGAGCCCTGGGGCCCATGCCGCACTGGGCATCACCCCCTGCTCTGGCATCTGGAGAGGAGTGGGCACGGGGCCACGCCAGGCAGACAGCAGAAGGGGACATGGGGCTTCATTGGGGACGACCGAGGCTAGAGCTGGGGTGGCTGGGGCACAAAGCCGATTGGGGGTTGAGGGTGGACATCCACTGCTGGACAGCTGGCCCCCCACACGTGGCGGTCCTGGGGCCTGCTCATCACCGAGGATACAGCACTCTCCAGGGGCCCAGGAGGGACCTAGGGACACAGAGTTAGATTCTAGTCTCAACTTGCTTTCCTTTCTGGGTCTCAGACGGTTTCCAAGTATGTTTCCCCGTTGCTGGTTAATAGAACATCTCCTTCCTCCTGAGACTCAGGAGAGGGGCCTGTGGGACATCCGTGAGGCTGGCCTTGACCGGCACTCCTGCCGCAGAGGCTGACCGACTCCCAGCAGTGTCACCCTGTGCCATTATTGGCTGGCTGGAGCCTTAGGATCTGGCTCCCTGCCCCCTGCAGGCTGTGCATCGTGGGGGCGGGGGCTGTGGGCACAGCCTCTGCTCTGTGCCCAGCCTGGCATCTCACGCAGAGCAGCCGCGCTGAGCCGATGTGTGAGAAGCCCCAGGAGGCGCCCAGGCCTTGAGCCTCCACTGCTCCAGGATAAACACAGGAGTCGGGCGGGGCAGGGGACCGGGCACAGAGCGATGAGCAAGTCCGGGCCTGCGTGTTCCCGTGGGGGCGAGGAGGAACCCGGCCTGGAAACTTCTTCCAGGGCTGCTGGTGTCAGCTGGGGAGCTGGGAACAGGAGTGAGAGGCCGAGACCTACCAGAGGGCACCCTGTCAAGGTCTTAGGAGGGGGCCCCACATGAGGGCCACCACTCTGCCTCTGTTTCCCAAAAACAGAGATTTTTTTCCCCCATCAAAGAAGAAATGTCCCATCCCCTCAGCCCTGTCCATGACTTTTCCTCTTGTTCTAGATACATCTTCCTTATACCACTTCCTGCTCCCCCCCCCCCCCAATAAAACAGCCCATAGCCAGAACAGCCTTCACGGGTGCCTGCATCTGAGCATGCCTACAGCTTAGCAGGGCCTGGGCCCTGTCCCAGGGCTGGGGCGGGGTGGGGGGTGGGGGTACAGATTGCAGACAGGAGTGAGCAAGGGGCAAATTTGGGGCTAAAGGTACAGAGGGCATCCTTGCCTGGGCCAGCCCGGTGTCCTTGCCTTGAGCCCCCAGAGGGCCTGGCTAGCCCTTCCCAGGACCTACTAAATTCAATGGCTACTCTGGTTACCAAGTAACTGATATTAGGTCTCAGATGCAAAGTCCAGGGGTCAGAACAGGCGAAACTGCCCCACAGGTCCTCTCCTCCAGCCCTGGAGCTGGACAAGAAGTCCTAAAGGATTGCTCTTCTTTCTCTGTTTGGATCTAGAAGGTCATCCGAGAGTCTGGTGCTTCCCATCACAGAACCTTCCCACCCAGTGTGCCCTGGGCAGCAGCCCTCAGATTTGCTCCTGGGGCCAGGGGGGCTAGAAGGCTGGTGCAGAAGAGCCCGGGTGCCAGCCAAGTCCTGAGCATTTCTTCTCCCCATTGCTCTTCCCCTCCCCAACCACAGCAGCCCCTCCCCCAAAAGCCAAAGCGCCTTGGGGTCCTTGAGCCATGCGCTTTCCCCTCAGGTCCAGGGAGCTGTGAGCACAGTGATGCCCCCTTGGGGGAAGACTAACCCTGGGGCTCACACAGGCAGTTCCCAGCCTCTCCCTCTCACTGGCCTCACACCAGAGGGGCTCTCCCTGGTCTCCGAGACCCATACACCGATCCCACAGAGGCTCTCAGGACCCCCTGGAGCCTTTGATCCTGGAGTCCCAGCCACCCTGACTAGGCGGCTGGCCCTTATGCCAGCAGCTAGAGGAAGGGCGCCACACCTCTCTGGCCAAACCTGCATAAATGGTAGCCAGAGCCTTCCCTGTCCCCAGTCCCACCCCAACCCCCTGCCCTGGCCCCTGGACACTCACACTCCTTCATCATGCCGATGTCCACGCAGCGCTTGAGCCGACAGGCCTGACAGTGGCGGCGGTTGTCCTTGGTGATGCGGCAGTCTCCGTTGAAAGGACAGGTGAATAATGCCTTTCGCTTCATGCTGCGCCTGCCAAGAGAGGACATGCCCTCTGCTGGGTCACCCACCTTCCCGCTCCTTAGCCCTGGCTGCTGTGACCACGGGGACCTGGCCACAAGGCTCCCAGATCTACACTTCTCCCGAAGAAGGCTGGGGCCCAGCCCAGGCCCGGGCCACTCTCAGTGATACCCACCCCCCATGGGGCATGTGCCACCCATTCCTTCCTCCTCCTTCATCGCCTGCCTGCCCCCAGCACTGCTTTTATGTACTTCTACAGCACTCTATATCCCGCATGTTAATTACACAGGAAATATACGAGTGAATTGGCCTAGCAGAAAAATTTTAAAATACTGAAATCTGCAAAGTAACCCTCACTGCTTTTAAGGAGCCATTATGAAAAGCAAGGATGCTGGTCTCAGCCTCAACTTTCTGGAGCCCAGAGATCTATGACCAGGACATCCCTGGTCCAGGGACAGACGTGGGCACAGGTGCAGAGAGAAGGGAGAAAAGGCCCAGCCACAACTGTAGACATCAAGATAGGCCACCCAGAAGGAGAAGAGGCCAGATGGGCAGGCAGGAGCCCTAAGGTCTGGCCTTGGCTTTCCCAAAGGCAGAGGGAGCAAGGGTTCCATAAGAACAGAAAACTCTCAAAGGTTCTGAGTTAGGAATCACTGGGCATCCATTGTAAAAGTGTGTCTGTGTGTGTAAGCTCATTTTCCTAATTCCGCTTCCTCTCCTGCGTCAAGCACACAGTGTGGGACATTGACAGGCTGCATGAGGCCCGCCTCCCTAGAGCCTTCCCATCATCTGTGTCTTAGAGGCTCGTCTCTCTCTCCCCAGCCCTGGCATGGGGATGCCCACTCTTGGCAACAAGGTTTCGCCGGGGAAAGATGATGGCAGAATCGTTTTCTCCCCAAGTAGCAGCATCTTCCCAGGAGCTGTGCAGATGCCCAAGCCTTAGACACAAAGGCTCAGGCCTGACCTTTACCCCCTCCTGGAGGTGAGCTGGTGACATCACCCTCTCCAGATGTCACATACTTGTTATGTTTCTTGGTGGAAAATGACTCACTGTTCACATTCACGAGGACAGACACGGGGGTCAGGACAAACGCGCTTATCAGCTGACGTGGACACCGGGGGACCAAACCGACAGGGCCCTTGCGATATGGGGGAAGAGACCAGAGGATCAGCTCTGCCGGCAGTCACAGGTGGTTGGACTCTAAGATCCTTCAGGGACCCAAGAAACCATTAGTGTACCCCCTCGTTTTATGGAAAGGACCACTGACATCAATAAACTTAGCAGTGAGGTGATTCAGCAAGAAGTAAAGGCCCCCAAGTTGGAAGCCTTAGGGGTGCGAGGCTCTGCTCTTAGCTCCCTGGACCGAAGGCACTGTTTTATCCCAGAAACTCGGTGAGCTCACTGAAGCTGAGCCCATAGGCAAACAGCCCGGGGAGCTGGCCCTTGAGCACAGCTCAAGGTGAAGGATAGCCCAGTGGTCCAGGAAGTGACTGCTGTTGGTTTTCGGACCTTGGTCCCTGTCCCCTCCTGTCACAACCCTCATTATGCAAGGGACCAACCAGCAGACCAGGCTCTACAGGGAGGTGGAATGGCCAAGGCTATTGGGGGTGGTGTAGCCCCGGGCAAGTCCACCAGAGGCTGTGCCCTGCCCCTCGGCGACCACCCAGGAGAGACCGTATCCCAGGTCTCTGCCCGCCGCCCCCCCCCCCGCCCCCCGTTACGGAAACAAGAAGCCTGATCCCTCGAGCCTCCACACCTCCGCTGCAGCTTTCCAGAATGACAGGAGAGTGGGAAAGTACTTCGGGCACTATCAGGGACACCCCAAATATATCGCTGTCATCACTGCAGGGCACAGCTCTCCACTCCAGGACATGAGATTGGTCCCCACTTGACTACTTTCCACTCTGTGGTTTTTGAGGCTCTACCTGTTACCACAAAATGTTCAGGCCCCAGAAGGCCCATAATTCTCAAAACCTACTCAAAGACCAGAAGTTTCTAATTCAGATCAAGCTTTCATCTCTCTCTCTCTCCCTCCCTCCCTCTCTTTTCTACAACCAGGCATGTTCCCCGGAAGCTGAGGGGCTGCTCTGTCCTCCCACCCACTGTCCTGTCTGGCTCAGAGCTCTTCCCCTTCATTCTCCAAGGCCATGGGCCCCAAGAGATCACACATAGGCCACTTCCAGACACATGAGCTAAAGCCTCTCCCCAGCCCTAGCTCTGTGAAAAAAGTAGTGTTCTTGTTTCCAGCTTCATAGTGGCATGAAGCTTAGGAGTATTGAGAAAAAAGGAGGAGGAAGAGGAGGAGAAAGGAGAGATGAAGAAGAAGGAGGAGGAGGAGCAGGACTCGAAGAGGAAAGGTAGGGAAAAATTGAGGGAGGGAGGAGGAAAAGGGAACTGTTAACCACCTCTGGCCAGACACACTATCTCACAGTAGGGCCCAGACCTGTGGCAAAAATGCCACCTGTGCTTTTCACCCTCTGCCACACCTTCTCCCAAAGCCCACCACCCTTGCAGTGGGTCTCCACATTATATGGACAATGCAGAATGCAGCCAATAAGCTTATGAAGCTCTAAATTATTATTATTCAAAAAAAATACAGCCCTGGCTGGTGTGGCTCAGTGGACTGAGTGCCACTCTGCAAACCGAAAAGTTGCTGGTTCAATTTCCAGTCAAGACACATGTCTGGGTTGCAGGGTGGGTCCCCAGTAGGGGGTATGTGAGAGGCAACCACACATTGACGTTTCTCTCCCTCTCTTTCTCCTTCCCTTCCCCTCTTTCTAAAAATAAATAAATAAAATCTTCTTAAAACGATTTTAGCCCTGGCTGGCGTAGCTCAGTGGATTGAGTGCGGGCTGGGAACCAAAGCATCACAGGTTTGATTCCCAGTCAGGGCACATGCCTGGGTTGCAGGCCATGGCCCCCAGCAATCGCACATTGATGTTCCTCTTTCTCTCTTTCTCCCTCCCTTCTCTTTCTAAAAATAAATAAATAAATAAAACCTAAAAAAAGAGAACCCTATAAAAAAAAGGATTTTAAAGTAAAGATTTTATAGTAAGCATCTCTTCCCAAGCTAAATACAGCTACAGAGGAAAGGCCATGGAATCCTCGTGGGGAAGATGGAGCTCACACATCATATAGAACATCGTCAGGCTCTGGAGAGTGGCTCAGTGTCTGGGGGATGGAGAGCTCCCTCACCAGCTCCAACAGGCAGACCCAGGTCCTTTCTGGAGCCCAGATCCCAGAGCTGCTTCTCAGGTGTGTCTGTCCCAGCATGGTTGTTTGCTGGGACACAGGTTCCACGGGCTCCATGGCCTAACTCTTCCTTCTTCTCCTGCCTCCTCAGAGCACCTCCACACACGTGGCTGTCATCTAGCCTCTGCCCATGAGGAGTCAGGGCGGCCACACTGGCCAGCCCTGGCTCTGTGCTTTGTCCTGACGAGCCACACCCCATCCTGCCTTCTTCCCAATGCTAATTGCCTATGAGCTGGTTTGGTTTTGAGAAACCAGAGCCTCGGGTTTCCATGGAAGCCCATTGCCTCTGCTGCCCTGAGCCTGGACCCTGTCATCCTCTGGATGGCTGGCAATTATACCTCTGCTCAGGAAGGGGGTAGGGACAGTGCAACAAGGCTAAATATAGATTCAGTTTCTAGAAAGTCAGGGGTGAGAGAGGACATTGACCAAATCTCATGCCAGAGACCAGTTCATCAAAACAGGAGAGACAAGCAGTTCACGAAAACATAAAGTGCCTGGGGCCAAAAGAGTCTCAGGCCTGGGACAGCAGGCTCCTTCGCCAGTAGGTGACCCTGCCAGCAGAGACACACCCAAGCCTGGGGCCAAGTACCAGCTCCGGGCTTTGTCTCCGCTGCTGCCTGAGTGTCGCAGAAGCCTCAGAGTGTGGTCTGGATACAGGACCCTGAGGGATGGAGCTCCTTATATGAAAGACCCGTGTGGTCTGCTTGGTGGAACCTACATGGGCCATTTGTATGTGGCAGCATCAATGGGTTCTCAGCAGGTGAGTTTAAAAAAGCAACTGTAAAGGTGTTAGCTAACAATGTGGCAAAGAGCACAGATCTCCTTTTTTGCAGGGAAATTTGGCCGTATCTACCAACATGTAAAATGCACAGGGTCATTAACACAGTAAATCCATTTCCAGGAATCCAGCCCCTAGGCCCAAAGACGCAGGCACAAGGGTGGGTACCATGGCGCCGTCGGGAGAGCCACAGATGGAGCCTAAATGCCCATCAGCACCAGAGCACAGCTTTGCAGAGGAGGCGACTGTGGACAGGACATAGGAAGAACACTGCAGCAGGAACAGGCTCGAAGAAGCATCCTTTCCTAGATGAGAGCAAGACCAGTAGAATATACTTCCCTCCCCCAGCCGCCCCCCACCCTTTCACATAAACAGTCTGAAAGCAAACACAGTGAGCTGGCAACAGTGACAGCTCCTGGGGGAGGAGAGGGGGGCCTGAGAACTGGGTAAGGAGGAGACTTACTTTTCACTTATATGTCCTTGTGAACTGCTTGCATCTTTTTTAAAAAAGATATTATTTATTTATGTTTATAGAGGGAAGGGTGGGAGAAAAAGAGAGAGAGAGAGAGAGAAACATCAATGTGCGGTTGCTGGGGGATATGGCCTGCAACCCAGGCATGTACCCTGGCTGGGAATCGAACCTGTGACACTTGCTTGCATCTTTTTTAAGAAAAATCATACACATGGGTTATTTACACGTAAAAAAATCTATCACCCACTATAAGTATATAACGATTTAAAAGGAAATACAAGCTTTGATAGATTGATCTGTTTGGATTTAAATCCTAATACACAACCTTGGGCAAGTTACTTAATCTCCCTGTGCTTCAGTTCCCACATCTGTGAAAGGAAAGCAACCTTTCACAGTGGGTTGTGGTAAGGATTCTGCTGTAAAGGAAGTGGGACTGGGCACAAAGTCAATGAAGGTCAGTAAAGGGAAGGGAGAGAAGCCGGTGGAAAGAGGCGGCGGGGCGGGTGCTG